ATAGGTTTTTATGCAAAAACAGCTTTTTATGTAAAATTCACTTTATAAAAGAACCACATCTCTAACTTTCATCCAGGATCACATGGATAGTTTGACATGCTTTAGTTAGTCTATCATTTTCGCCCATCTTTTGGAAAATGCAGTTTTAAAAGTAATAAATATCACTTTAGCCAGGACATGGCTGTACTATATGCTATTTGATTTAATCAGAATTATAACAATAAAAATTACTTTTTGTCAAAGTGTAGCATTTTTGTACTGAAAAAAACAAACAGTTTTTTAATAATGTTACATTATGATTAGAATTAAACCTGAACAAGATGTTACATAGAGAAATACACGACATGAACATCAAAATGCAATGAACTGAAGAGCAATAACAGATGAGCAAATAAAGCAGTGATGTTTCTAAGCCACTTCATTTCTTTCTGTGTTTCTGATTTTGAGGAGGAATTTTGTCCATTTTAAGCACATAAAAGCAGATATCATTCCAATTTATTGTTTTATTTGTAGATCTAGAAAGTGTTTAACAACTGTACAAAGTCTCATGCCATCTGGACAAAGAGAACTTTTATTTTTATTTTTTAGCAAACGTCATTTGGGATCAAAAAGACCCCGAACATGCAGTTCACAAGAGTACATGAAATATCTGTATTTATAAATATTAATTACATGTACATGTTTAATTACATGTAGATAATGCACTCATATTAGTGTACATAAAAAAAATTAAAAAATGTATATATACATAAATTGTGATCATACATATTATGAATAATTTTATATAAATCCATATATTTAGGCAGTGTTTTCTCTCCTTTATAATTTTATACAGTTATTTATACAATAAGAGTCCTTATTTATTATATTAAATATAGCATTAATATATATCCATATATTCAGGCAGTGTTTTCTCTCCTTCATGGGTTTGTATATATTTATGTATTTTTTTTTATTTATTTACATATTACATTTTAAATATTAATGTTAATCACGTGTAGATTATGAGCTCATATTAGAGTATGCTACATTAAATTATATATGTATATGCTGGTATATATGCTAGTATATGTAAAAAAAATGTGTTTATAAATATTAATTATAATATATAATAAATATATTTTATATATTCATATATTTAGGCAGTGTTTTCTCTCTTTCATGAGTTCCTAATATAGGAGTTCCTAATATATATATATATATCGATTAATATATATTTTAAATATTAATGTTAATTATGTGTAAATGATGAGCTCATATTAGAGTACATTAAATTATGCATATATATATAAATGTGTTTATAAATAAAAATTATAATATTAAACATAATAAATATATTTTTATATCATTCTATCTTTTAAAATTAATTTTTATATATTGAATATAATAAACAATATATATACATTGATAAATGTTACATATTTTAATTTAAATATTACATTTTAAATATTAATTTTAAATACATGCAGATTATGAGCTCAGATTAACGGAGTGCATTACACGTTATTCATCATTTCTTCATATATGACCTGCTGTTGTGTAAGCCCGCATCTGTCCTGTGTCTCCAGGCGTTTCCCCCTTACACGGGCCCCGCGAGCGCCGGCTCGGCCCTCAAACTCTCTCCCGGCGGGTCCTCCGGCTCCAGGAGTGACGTCTGGAACAGCCTGATCCTGGCGTGAGGCCCGGGACTCTTCATCCGGCACCCGGAGCTCGAGATCGGATCGGACGTGTGTGAACGATTCAGATCACAGCAGAAACACAGGACCTGATTGAGAACGCTTGAGACCCTCGTGTCCGGCGGATCGCGAGAACATAAGCTTATGTTCAGGTGTACTGTGTGTACTCCACACATCTTGGTTTCGTTATTTTAAACCGTTCAGATGATGTTCAGATGTCGCGCGTCACGTTTTGCACACGCAAACACAACACTTTCTCCTGAAAATGTACAAATGTTGCTATTTTTACCCGTTCTGTTTGTTGCTCTTCATAAACTATATTTAAGTGAAGCTCAAAGCACTCCTACTCTGCAGGGAAATGTTGTGGTGAATATTAATAATCATATGAGCAGATATCATTTTGACTGTTTTTCCCAAAGCATCTGTTGTCAAGATTGACGAGTCGACCTAAAAACCTTCTGTCCTGAAAGCCACTTCCTTAAAACATTTCATTTTAACAAATAACCTTCACCGCATTTTGACTTCCTTTTAAAATCTTTATCGCAGATGATCTCCTTTAATTTCAACTTCTTGTATTTATTTCTAGAGTAAACAGGGTTACAGTTTTACTTTCTGTCTGGAAAGGTGTAAAGTCCAGTTAAACTTGTGCTGATCATATTTTACATTAGCCTTTTCTCATTAAAGAATATAGAAAGTCCATATGTAATTCTTTTCTTGTATTCTATATAGTATTAAGTGTATATAACTGTACCTATGCCAAACGACTCACTCCATGTTTAACTGTTGTTTTTAAGACACACAACATATGTGAAAATTTGATTAAA